GTAGAAATCAGAGGATATTTAAAGCAGAGAAACTGTTCTGTGTCACCCCATAATGGTGGATATACAACACCATGCATTTGTCAAAACCTGCAGAAGTGTGTAAGACAAAGAGTGAACCCTAACGTAAACTATGAGCTCCATATACTTACTGCTTCATTTCATTCTCATGACAAGCCTGTGAGGCACGTGCTTCTCCAGGTTACAGATGAGGAAACTGAGGCCCGAGGCATTACGGAGCACGCCCCAGGCTCCCACTTCTTCAGTGAAAGGCCCACAGGCAAACCGGAGTCTGTTTAACCCCCGCCCTCCTTCCCACCGCACACACTTGCCGAAGTATGAGGCGACCTTGTCTCTCTGAGAGCCTCTCAGCAGCACCGCCCCCAAATCCTGAGGGCTGGGCTATGGGGATACAGATGATCTAAGTCAGAGGTTTCCAAATAACAGACCTCTGACGGGGGCTGGCTGCCTCCCCATCACCTGGGGAGCTGGTGGGAAACACACAGGTGCGGGTCCCCGTCCCTGCGGTGCTGACCCAGCCGGTCTTGGGAAGGGGCCCGGGCATCAGCATTTACGAGCGGAGGGACTCTACTTGCCTGGAAATAGAGAGGGATCCTGAAACGTCTGTGCTGGGGACACCTGCACAGTCTGCGGAAGCCTATGGACCCCTCCGCAGGATGAAAGTGCATCAAGCAAAACAAAATGCGCAGAATTACAATGGAAACCAATGATGTGGAAATGCAGTTATCGAGTTTTTAAAAAATCATGCTGCACTGATACACGTGCTTCTCTGGGACATTCAACAACAAGACCGAGTGTGGGTTTAATAACTGCTATAAATGTAAAAGTAGACAGGAGGATGCTTGAGTATTTCAGGATACCTACAAGAACAAGGATGTGATGCACGCACGTCTGTGATTCCATCTGGAGACAAAAGCCCAGTAGGGCTAATGGTACAGAGGTCTAGGGCCTCCATTCATAATTGAAACGATGGCTCACGTCAGTGAGAGATGAGTGAACATAAAGCATGCACTTTACTTTCCTGATCAAGTTTCCAGACCCCTCGATTCTATCAGACTCCTTGGAGACATGTGGACCGCGGGCTACACATGCTTGTTTGTGGCTTATAGCCAGCTATCATCTAAAAAATGTAGAATATGGGTTTCAAGAGATTTTTTTTCACCTTTCCACAAACAGGTTTTACCAGAGATAAAGTCAAGGTGAAGAGGTACATGATTTTCTTTGGCCACGTGACGTCCGCATGGAGACTTTGATCTGTTCTTCCAGGCAAAGAGGACTCTATTAAATGATTGATTTAAAAATTAATGATCGCTACTGGAATAGTAACCACAAGAAATCCCATTCAGGCAAATCTCACAAGGGAAAATGTTGCATGATTTATCTTTTTGTCAGCGTTCTGGCATTCTAAGATGATAGTTTTTTTTTCCTTCCACCCTTGCTTTGTTTTGCACTTATCCTAAATTTCTAAATCACACAGTTCCCGGATTACGAGAAATGATTCTCCTCATTCAGAGCGAACGGTGCCAGAGAGACATTCGTGAAAAGGGCTGCGCTCTTCCCGTAATCAACCGCCCTCTCCTTCGCCTGTTTAGAGCACATCCCCCTCCGATGAAATTACCTGAAGATTTAACTGGGTAGAGCAATAACAGAGAGCTCCACGTTGCAATCAGGGACAATGCTTTATGGGCACCAGAAAGTTCGCTGTGCTCAGCTTTGCAATAGACCCTGGGGTAATAGGAGTCCGTGCATGCTCACAAAGCACTTCATGGCTTAGGGCCTTTCTTGCTTGCCACCCGCACCTGTGTGCTGTGCTTTAGGTGGGTTTCCTTGTTTCCCCCGCTGCTCACAATTATTCATCTCTGCAGCAGAGGTAACCAGGAGTTCAGCTTCGCCGGCTGGAGCAAGCTGAGCTGTCCCCAGGGGTCTCCTTGTGCAATTACTCTGCATCAGAGCCTCTGCTGGTGGGACAGAGACACCAGCCTGAAAGAGGATGGTGGGCAGCGGCCAAGTCCGGGACACCGGGGGGAAGGTGGGGAGAAAGCAGAAACTTTCTCCCAGGGGTGCACCCTGGAGAGGAGAGCGTGGTTCACCTAGACAAAGCTTTGGACTCGAAAGGGTCTCATAAAATCGCCTGGTGCCATTCGAATCTCCTCAGAGCTTTTTATCTGTTGACTCCTTTTAAAGCAATGTTTTCCTCTACACAGTATCATGAGCCTCAGTACCCAGAATCTAGACTTAGATGCCTCGCCATACCCTGAGGGCAGGAACCAAAACCAGAATTGCAAAAGGTCCATTTCCTTATTTCCATCTGTTACTCTGGCCCAAGCCTACACTCCCAGACCCGCCTCCTCCACCGTCCCTGTTACACTCGCTGCATGCTCTCCTGTCCATCCTAAACTCAGCCTCTGCCCATGCTGTGTCCCACAGGACCTCCCTCTCCCGTCCTCTCTGCCCAGCCAAATCCCACCCACTTTTCAATGCCAGGTGACCTCCCCTCACCGGAAGTCCTTTCATAATCCTCCAAGGGAGGAGCAGCCCTCTTTCCTCTTCCATTACAACAATCTGCATTTGTGCCATTATCTCACAGATGGAGCAGATGGTCTAAAATGCCGGCCGGGCACGGCCACATTGTATGTGGTTCTAATTCGTGAGCTGCATGCAGAGCCAGTGCTGAGAAATGTCCCAGCCTCCCTGTGTCCCCTGACTCTCATCCTTCACAGCACTCCCCTGGTCTCACGGTTACACCTGGCCAGCTCACAATGTCCCACTCTGACCTCAGGCTCCTTTTCTTTTCTTCCATTTCTCTCACTCACTTACTTCCACTAAACCTGTTCAGAAAGAGGGCTTCAGGCCGTGTGATGGCCTGTAATAATACAATAATAGCAAGTAATGAGAGCTAACACTTAACTGTGTTTTAAGCACTTTACATTTACTAACTCATTACCAACTCAGTCACATAATGACATTATGAGGTATGTGCCATTACATTCCCCATTTAGAAACAAAGACATCGAGGCTAAGGGTTTAAGCAAATTGCCCAAAGACACTCTGTGTCCTAACAGTGCTTTCTTAGGTTCTGTGTTTGTCTCTGTGGCATCCATTCATCGTGGGGCCATACCAACAGCCACATTGTTTATTATCTCCCCTGCCATCCAGAGCCCATATTCTGATCTGCCTCTTTATGTGAGTCTCACCCACCGAGTTGAGATTCCCCTTCCCCTAGGTCACCTAGGACCAGGTACCAGACAACAAGAGGCAGCCCCTATGCCCCAAGTATGCGGAATTATTCAAATCAGCCAATCCTGAGCTCGTTAGCCTGCCCTGCCTTCCCCGCGGAAACCCCGATAAAAGCTCTGGCTAGGCTCTCCCCTGGCTGGTCCTGCCTCCTGGCCTGTGCGGCATCCCTCTCATTTCTCGGGGAAGTGTGAGTAACAGTCAACTCTTATTCAGTCGCACTGATCCCTCTGTGTCAATCACCTTTTACAAATGAAGACCCAGCACCAGTCGCCCATCCAGGCAGCAGCTGTGCGGGGTTGGGAGCCCTGGCTGTCTGCAAACACTGCCCTTCCACTTGGGCCCCGCCACGCTCTTCCTTACCACTGCCCAAGCTACTAAACACTATTGGAGAAAAATCTTATAAGCACACAGGGTTGTCTCCAAAAACGTAAATCCTCAAACCTCAAGGAGGCCCGCGAAGTCTCCCTGGAAAGATCCCTCGTTGGTCCTCCCTGCAGACACTTCCATTTCCCCCTGTTCTCCTCCAATCTCCCACCACCCCTCACTGTCAGCTGGCGCCCTTGCCCGCGCTTACTGCATTTCAGCACAAGCCGCTGGGTGGGGAGCCGCGCAGCCCCGGACTCCCACCCTCCTCCTTCTACAGGGGAGACGCGTTCTCCCTGGCGCGACGGATGGCCCCGGCTGCTAAACCCAAGGGCACTGGGAACCCCTTATGGTATGTAGTTCTCAGCCCTGATAACCCACCCACTTCATTCATTCATCTATTGAGTCTCTACTCTGTATCAGGCACCAAAACCCCCGAAGATCCCTGCCCTGAGGAGCTGATATTTGAGCAAGGGCAGAGAGGTACTGAATAGTACCCACAAGTACATTATGTAGTACGTTGGAAGGTGGGAAGTCTATGGAGAAAAGAAGTAAAGGTGTGGAGGACTCAGCAGGGTGGGGCGTGGGCAGGAGGGGAGAGAGGCGACGGCACGAAGGAGATTTCTGTGGGAAGAACATCTCAGACACGGAGGAGCTGGAGCAAAGGTCTGGGGGCAGGCGCCTGCCAGGTGAGCTTAGGGAACAGGGAGGAAGTCGGGGGGCCGGGAGTGAAGGTGGTAGGAAGAGCAGGAGGTGAAGTTAGTTCTTGGAGGGCCTGTCTAGGAGGCTGAAAGCACTTGAGCTTTTACTTCGAGTGAAACGGGGAGCCATTAAGGTTCTGGAGCAGAGGCGTGCCGTGATCTAACTTATGTGTGAAGAGCAACACCCTTGCTGTGTTGAGGTGGACTCGGATGGGGCAGGGCAGAGGCAGGGAGACCAGAGGAGGCTCCTGCAGGGATCCAGGTGGGAGGTGAAGGGGACGTCACCAAGAACGGAGCAGAAGGTGGCAAGAGGCGGTCGCATCTGTGGACCTCTCCCCTTCCTTGGCTGCTGCGGGGCCACTCTCCCTTGGTTCTTTCTGCCACGCTGGCTGCTCCTTTTCAGCCTCCCTGGGGGTCCTCTCACAAGCTTTCTCTGGTCAGTTGCCAGGTACACACTGGTGATGTTGAACATGAGACTTGTCCATCCAACAGGCTGCTCATCCCTCTGTCCGGACGGGCCACAGACCTCAGAAACTCAGTCCCAGGTTCAGTATAAAGTCCCTCATCCCATCTCAGGGAGTGGCGCCCAGGACCTCACCCACTTGTCCAGAGAAGAAACCTGGGAACTTCCTTCTCCTTTAATATCAAAGCTAACTTTGTCACTGGGATCTGGTGCTCTTGCCTCCGAAAGATCTTCTGAAAGCATCTGCTTCTGTCCAGCCCCACTGCCACTTCCCCATCCAGCATCCTCCAGAGAGGGCCGCGCTGTTGTCCCAATGGGCCTTCCTATGCCTCTGTCGTGACCCACTTCAACGCACGCTCCACACCCCTGCCAGAGAGAGCTTTCTAAAGAGCCAGTCGCAACTTGGCCCTTCCTCCCCATCCTCCATCTTCAGTGGCTCTGTACACACTGTCCGCAGGAGGTCTGGAATCCACCCCCAGGGCCTGGAAGACCAGGTCTCTGCTGACCTGCTCCCCCGAGCTCTGGTGCTCCAGCCACAGTGAAAGGCTCTCAGTTCCCCCCAGAACAGTCCAGGGACCCTGCCGCCTGCAACTCCACCTGATGACATCTCACCCACCCTCCATCTCTCCTTCTCATCCTCAGGTCTCATCTCAATGTTGCCTTCTCTAGAGGCTTCCCTAGTGCTCAGTTGGGGCTGCAAGTCCCACCGCTGCCTCCTTTCCTCCTCTAGCCAGAGCATCCCCATCCTGCCTGCTGTTGCCTTGTTTCTGTCCTCATCACGTTGCCAGGTTGTCAGGTCACCCAGGGCTGGTGCCCCGCCTCCCTCATTCCTGGTCAGAATCCCAGCACAAAGTGATGCCTCTGACATCGCAGACATTTCCTGAATAACAAAATGTTAACTGGCGGAGTCCGGATTCTCAGGGAGTCTGGTCTCTGAATAGAAAAGTGGTTCCCAGGGTCGATCCCATGACCCATGAGCCCTGGCCAGCGGCGCTGGAACACCCTTTAGTACCGGGATCAACAGAAACGGAAAAATAACAATTGCATTTCCGACGTGCAAGGCCTTGGACTGGGCACTTTACAGGTTATTTCACTTAATTCTCAGAAGTAATCTATCAAGTTACTTTTATTCTTTCCATTTGGTAAATGAAAAACTGAAGCTATGAGAAGTTAAAAGACCTATTGCTGCTGCGTAGTGACTGAGAGGCAGAATGTGGGCTGCCACTTTGGATTTGTGTGTCATTGTGACCCTCTGTGACACAGTCCCCAAAATGCAGGGGAAATAATTATAATAATAAAAATAATAAATAAACATAACCTTTGTTTTTCTAATAATTATCTGTTGTCCTCCTAGCCCCCAGATTTCTCAAACTCCTTCCTGAATACATTTTACCTCTGGCTTGTACAGCTCCGAGTCCCATGGTACACAGACCGCAGTGTGAGGCAATATGCCCTCTGATGTGTCTTGCAGCTCCTCTGCCCTTCAAGGTGCGTTTCTCATGCCAGAAGGGTGCACACGTGGTGCCTGGTCCCTGCGAGGCCTCCTCACAGGGCCTGAAGTCACCTGTCCCCGCAGCCCTGGTGTCCTGAAGGGGTTCTGAGACCAGAGGTCTCCATCAGCGGCACCATCAGTGGCTTTACTCAAGGCCAGCTCTGGTGCGACCTTTCTTACAGAAAGTGACCCTAACAGGGCACCCAAAGAGCCAGTGGGGGTCCAGACCCCAGAAGCACCCACCTCAGGGTGGAGAGCAGGCCTGCACCTCAGCCCTCTTCCCAGCCCCAGCCCCAAGGATGGCATCTGGGCTGCCACACAGGGCAGGAAACGGATCCTGTTAGAAATGTTTTTGAGGGGAAAAACAGAATTTAATGAAACAAGACTGCTTGTTCATAAACAAGGACTGAGCACAAGAGGGCTGGACACACAGTCCGGCTGCCTCGGCCGAATCCCGGGTGACTGAGCCTAGGGCAGTCCTCCAGAGAAAGCGAGAAGGGGGCGAGTGCCTGCCACAGGGGTCAAAGACATCTGCAAGCAATCCCGTGGCTGATCCAAGGTAATGAGGTGTCAGTGCTGAAAGAGTAGCCAGCGGGTGCTCCTGCCCAGGCCAGAGGCCTGAGAGGGGAGGTGCAGGAACCCAGGGGTCACTGTGCAGGTCTCAGGGGAGACCCACCTGGCCAAACAGCCACCCTCGCCAGTGCCTCCCCACCCAGTGCCCAGGGCATCACCCTCCCGGGGAGCTTGTCCTCCCTCCAGGCCCTGGGGGGGGGGTGTCCAGGGCCCCGTGAGAGTGCCAGGCCACTTCAGACCCAGGCAGGGACGCGGAGGGGGTCTTCTAAGCTCCTCTGTGCCGCGGGTGCCCATCCC